GAGAGAGAGAGAGAGAGAGAGAGAGAGAGAGAGAGAGAGAGAGATCGGTGCCGACAATAGGAATTATGTTCCCCGAATTTAACTATTATATAAGTACGCTTCCATAAACATCGGTTGAAGTTAATTGCGCGATTCGGACCGATTCTCTGCCCGCCAATATGCGGTGGTCACCGTATAGATGCGGAACGAACGGGGTGGAACGGTGCGGAAAGTGGCACGTACACATAGGTGAGACAGCGCGTTGGGCGCGCGCTTAAATTCACCGTCTCATCTCGTCTTTTCATTATTGCATGTTGCAGCGCTCTCGGACCCGCCGATATTCGCTGAGCCGATACCGAACGTCACGGTGGCGCTAGGAAGGGACGTGAGTCTGCCCTGTGTCATCGAGAACCTCGGCACCTACAAGGTAACGCACACTGGGAATTCGTAATGACTGCACGCACCGTTGCATAAGCGCGCGTTCCAGCAACGATATATAAATGAAGCGGCTTTCTCTTTTCCGCAACACACACGCGCGCACGGACAACCGGTTCCTCTGTGATCCCAGTAATTTTCTTCTTGGTTCGCGGGCGGCGAGCGTGTTTTCCCCGGCGGTCGGAACTCGTCGTCCTTTACTAAACAGAGTTTCCTCAATTATTCGTTAACTGGATTACAAAGAGCGTGTTACAGCGCGTGCGCGCGCGCCAGCAAGAGAGAGAGAGAGAAAGAGAAGAAGCCGTGCTGGTTGCGCGAAGACGCTCTTTACAGAGTTCCGCTTTTTGCGTCTGCGAGGCTAGAGTGCTAATTTTCTACGTGGCATTGCGCGATATTTTGTCTGAATTTATTTTGTCCGCGCGAGACTAGATAATATTACGTTATTATTACGTCGCCACGTGTGCAAGATACATAATAACCACGAGGCACGTGTACGTATACTTGCGCGTTTTCGTATACTTTCGCGTGTATGTTTCTTCGCGGCGGAGAACGTCAGGCAAGGGAAGCGAGGCAGGCGAGAACACGCCCGACTTGTGCAACTTTTTCAAGAGATTGCAATTATCGCGCTAATAAGTGCGTCACGTTAACGACGATACCGAGTGAACAAGTAGGAATTAATGTGTATTATGACAATCTGATGTACAACATCAGTAAAAAACAAGAGTTGGTCAACGCAAGTTGGCGATTGCGATTAATTAGTAATTAGGAGGAGGAGAGGTTGGAAGTGATATAATCGGAATGTAGAATCGGTTCGATGTTGGAAGGAGACGAAAATATTTCGCGTACGTTAAGGGGATGCCTGCAGAATTTTTCTATTAGGCACATATTTATGCCAACAGATCCATATGTCAATTTTGTATCGTTTTCATAACATATTTAACAATACTCCAATTAATTTTTGTATTTTCATTTTTTTATCTTTCATTATATAAGAACATTTTCAATTCTGTGTAACCGGCACACAATATAAATTTTGCAGAAAAAACATCATTATTTTGTCAATAATTTTTAAGTTAGCATCCCTTTAAAAAGATTTACGTTATATTGATTGCACAGAATAGCAAATGCTTTTAATGATGAAAGTATGTGCAAATTTATTGGAGCAATAATGCTCAATATGTGATGAAGACATAAAATTTCAAAATTTACATTTGGCATTAATTTGTGTAAATATCTGCAAGATGCGAAAATTCTACAATTTGTACATGGAGAGAATTTTACAGTAAAAAATTACTTTAGAATTTTGTATCCGTGGAATAGATTCTGTAATAATTGACATATCCTTTTCTTTCATACATGCTATTTATATTCTAGGAATTTTAGGAATTAAAATATACTTGTAAAAGATTTGTTTCTAGTAAAATTTATTATATTTATTATATTCCTTGGCAAGAAAGAGAGATAGACCTTACTGACAATCTCTGTTTCTGCACTAGAAATATAGTAAAATTAAAAAGTATTTTATAAAACAAGTAAAAAAATGATATCCTTTCTCTCCGTATACATGTTGAGCGTGTTTGTTCCGCTCAGGAAAATTTCACACACAATACTGTTGCATCTTTGAAATTGAATTTAGGGAAGCTTGAAAATATAAAAAAAGTTTGCAAAAAGATTCCTATATATGCGTATTTATATTTTTTGCCAAATATAGTAAAATAAAGCACAACACACATTTATAAAAGATCTATAAATACAGAATCTATATATACAGCAAACACAAAAAGAGAGTTGCGTGATTGTATTAATGCTTATCCGACATGACGTTTGACAACCGCCTCTACGTTATCGACATTTTTGAAGTTCGTCATCCACTTTGACATGCCGTTAAGACCGGGGAAATGTCTTGGCACGTGCGACACTTCGCCGATATTATTATCCTCTCTCCTGCAATAAATAATTCAATAATCACAACCGTCAACCTGCACAACCCTCGTCGGCCGAAGTTCCTTGCTGAAGGAGAACAAATGTACTTTGATTAATTTCTCATTTCGAGTCCGTGATGCGAGTTGAAGTTGTCGAAAAATCGCGAAAGTTAATTCCCCGCGAAAGAAGAAACACGTAATCACTATCTGCCACGTTGCGCGATCCGCAAGTTCGTTCCAACGGTACTGAAGACCGCTGTTAGGCAACCGTATTGGAAACGCATCAGTTGTCCCGTCAGGGAGTTGGATGCGACGCCGCTACATCGTGGCCCGCAGGCGATCAACGTTACACACGAACAAACATATCGGCAGGCGTAACGAGCGATGTAGTTTTCCCAGCGAAAACTGTTGTATGTAGTGGTGTGCGCCTGCGACTGTATGGAAAATCGGGGGAGTCCTTGAACTTCATTAAAACTCGCCGTATTGCTATTTCCATTCTATGCATGGTTCAAGGATCGAAGTCACGTCTCTGGTAGATGTCAAAATTCCTGCGAGATTACTGTAGATCCAAGTGTGTTATTTCGACTGAATCTCTCCTCAGACGTTTCTTATCGTTTATAGTCACGTCATTTCACACATTTAAATATATTAAATCACAACTTATACACTGAGGGAAATGTCTGATGATATTAACCAGAATTCTATTTGGGTTTACCAAATATATGTATGATATATTGTATGATGAATAATTGTGTAACAAGATATTTAGTTAATGATACCAAACTATCTGGTGAGCGCATTGTCTAAATAGCATTGCAGTGATGTTTAAATACCAAATCATTTGGTACAATTGATACAATTAATAATTGAAATAATAAAGCTTATCCTAAAATCTAACCATATTATATATATAATTCTCATATAATACTTACTGTATATAACTTCATATATTTACTTCTAAATTCGTCGACATATTTTAAGAAATTTCATTCTTCCAAATATTTGACGGTTTCAGCGTTTACTCTTTTATAGCACCGACGTCTTTACAAATTAGTATAGATGAAATTGAAACGTTGCAGCGAGTAATAATTAACTATCGCGTCAATAGTATCACACGTCTAGAGACTATTACCAAACTGTCCAGATGTCTTGATAGTATTAAGTAGATGCGTTGAGACATCGTAATCAGAATATTTGATATGTGAACCAGATATCGCATATAAATTTACTATATTATTTTCATAAAATGAGTATAGTGTCATTCACCAAGCCATTTCTCTCAGTGTATGTCTTAAACGTGTTAAAAGCCATCTGCAATGGGATTGGTAGTGAGACATAAGCAGTAAGCAAAATGCCCATCACAGTCGATTGTTACAAGAATAATCGACTGCGGTTGGGTAATTTTCTTAATGCTTACGTCTTACTGCCTACTAACAATCCCATTGTAGATGGACTTTTATACGACGTGATCTAAAACCGCAAGAAACGTGCAAAAAGGGTTTCTCAGCCGCACTTAGATTTGCGGTAACGTCAAATCAATGGCGATGCTTCGGATTCAACGTTCATTAAATGATGATCTCATGACGATGACGGAGGATGCGCTTATTCCCTAACGTGACAGATAATCAAAATTATTATGTGCCAAGAAAGAGACAGGAAGACGGCAATCATCCACATGTACACCGCACATCCAAGTGTGTCATTTTTAAACGCATAAGTAGTGTAATTTTGACTGAGGTCAAAATTTTTCCTTTTACACGTTTCTTATGGTTTTAAAGCGTGCCTTGCAGTTTCACCTAACACTTTTCGCGGACGTATGAATTATAATTCAATAATTTCAAACGTTAAATGACGTGACTTAAAACGCTAAGGAACATGTAAAAAGAAATTCAGTCAAAGTAACACACTTGAATCTGCAGTAGCACGTGTCAAACTTTCTTGCTTGTATGAAAGAAGACAAAGTCCACATTGAACAACA